CCGTTCGTGACGTCATACGAACGATATTGTATCATGGAACATCTTGTTCGTGGCGTCATATGTACACAAATTGAATATAAATTAGAATATGAATTCTAAAGTTGATTTAACTTTTGAACAAAATAGGAAAAAATAAGGGAAAGAAAATAGAATCGCTACAGAATTCCAGAATTATGAATAGAAAATTTAAGATCTATCGTAATTGCGGCTTTCAAAATTTGCAATTCCGATTATGGATATCGATATCGATTGCTTAAATAGAATTCAGAACGGAACGAAATTACGAAAATTCGAATCTGCTCTATCCTCTTCAAAATTTTTACAACTCGACAAAACTTATCCTCGTTTCGAGCTAAATAAAGTGCACAACTCGAAGATCAGATCAACAATTATTATACAATCATTGCACGTATATACGATACGTCTTAATCACGATTTAATCATCAGTAAATTAATAATCCATCCAATAACAAATTATCTTGCAACAGGATAAACATCTTGCGATTTTTGTAAAAAACGTACGATTTGGTGACGCTGCTTTTTCACTTCTTTTCCATTTTTTTTTATCTTTTTTTTTTTTTAATCGGCAAGAACACTTCCATAAATCCTTCTCGATCGCTTATTTCAATGTGAGAATGATCTAAAAGGGAGATAATTATTTAATCATTCTAAAGATGATTCATCAAATTTAAATAAAATCATTTAACTTTTCTAAAATAATAAAAATTAATCTATTTAACTAAGTTATTGATGAAATTGAATATTAACAATAATATGAATCTAGATAATCAGAGTAACATATATTGATATTAATCCTAAAAAATGTTCAGATAAAAAATGTTTTAATTTGCTCCAATAAGTATTATAGTAAATTGAACTTTTAATCATTTTACATTTAATAAGGAACCAGTAATCAATAGGTATCCATGAATAAATCTAGAAATAATAGCAAAAACTGCTTTACTATTGAGAGAACATAATAAAAATAACCAACAACGCAATATGTATCATGAAGAATAATATTAGTAGATGAATTTGATAGTATAATTCCTGTTTTTAAATCTATCAATAGTGAATAATAAAATAAATCCTAATGATCGAACAAAAATATTAAAACAAAAATATTTCAATTTAATTTTGATCCACGAATAAGTTGCTAATCATTTAAAAACTTTAATTTCTATTTGTAAAGTAATAATTATTATTGCTGAAGCAAAATATATGTTCGTGTATCAACATCTAAACTTACAATATGTAATCAGAAGTTAAACGGATGGAAACCGGGAAAACAGTTAAAATTCGTGAAGAATTAATTCTATTCGATTAGGTCGTGAACTCGTATCATGGACTTTGTATTCGTGTAGCACGAATATGTAGCAAAGCATACAGCGCCAACAGCAGGTTGCACGCGAAATTAGAATTTTAAATCGGGCAGACTGTTTAGCAAGAAAACATTTATGAAATTATTAGGCCGAAACGTCGCGTGTTAATAATTATGGATTAGCGTGTAGCAACAAATAACTGGAAAACGCGTTCCAATATAATCGATTCGACGTTTCTCGATAGATATTTTCCGATTATGCTTCTGTACAGATCAAGAATGTGTTATCGATTCGAGAAAGAAGCTCGATACACGTGCAACGAACACGTATCGACCGAATTATTTTCGCTTTGTAACACAGAAGAAAAGAACATTTCAAATTCTCGTCGATTGTTTCGAGCTTAAAATTTGTCGATTATCTTGTTCTACTTTTTATTTTGATTATAAAAATATTATTCCCGGGGAATCCGGGAATTTGTGTATTTGATCGACTTGTCGACTGTTGTTCAACTCTCGTCTGAACAACTTGAATTTCTGTCTAAGGAAATTTCATGAAATGAGAGGAGGTAATCATGCATGGACCTTGGTCTTGCTAATAGTATATACTCTTGGCAAGGAAACACTGGCAGAATTACTCAAAGCACACCACGATGAGAAGATATCCAACAGTATTTTACCATAGTTGCGTTAAATCAGACTCAAGTTGATCGTTTCCTAACTTTTTCTTAAAAAAGAAAAAAAAAACTTTTATAACAAAAAATTAAAGTTTTAATAAGGGAAAAATAAGGGGAAAAAATGACGTGATTAAATACGATTACATTTTTAAAAAAGAAGCTTGTCGAACAACGCGAAACATTTCAATTTATAAGTAGCTTAGCAAGTGTTTAATGAAATCTTTCGAAAAAAAAAAAAATTAGATTCGCGAAAGGAAAAATTATCGGTAATTAGAAGAAATTTTTTTTAAAGAATTTTTTCAAGAATAACTCAACTTTGAGGAAACACTACTAAAAAAGTAAAAAAAAAAAAAACGATACATCGAGTCAAAAAAGTTAAAGAAAATAAAAAGGCTTGGAAATGATTGAATCGGGCGCGATTTACACATGGAAACGAGGATTCTTTTAAAGCAGCTCTCGGTGAAAGCGCTCAAAGGGCGAAAAAATGGCTAATAGCGTAGAAAAGTAACGACGTCTTTATGCCTGCCTACGCATCACCAGTCTAATTCCTTAAAGTGATCCCTCTCGCTACGTTAAATCACTTTATCACACGTTTCTTTTCCCATAGAGCGTGAAATTCATTTTGAAACATACTTGAAACGCGATACAAGAGTTTAAAGATCAATTTTTTGCTGTCTTACGACTCGTTTTCGCGATGCTAAGTCTTAAAGAATTTCTTTCGATGTCGAAGCTACCGTTCACTGCTCGAAACTGGAAAGAAGATGGCGGGAAGGCACAAGGGCAAGAGGGGTCCTTCGCTAGGACCGCCTATCCCCACTCACTCTTCCCTTTGTGACGATCCTGACACCACACGCTACATAATAGTAGAAGAGCTATAATTTGAACATTCAAAATCATAAAAATTATTTTCATTTATGAAGTTAGAAAATATTTTATATATATATAATTATTAACTATTATATCTTAACTACTCGAATACAAAATTACATTTATAAATTAGCCTATGCATATTTATAAAAATAAAAAAATTAAAAAAATAAAAAAATAAAAAAATTTTTATATTATATTAGATACATTAGAATTTTCTGGATTCTATGTATACTTTAATGTATTGATTTTTAACTCATTCTAGAATCATTTTAAGATTATAATTAAAACTTTAAATTATGATTCTTAAGTCACACTTAAGTTAGTCAAAGTTCATCATTAGATTTTAAATCATAGAATTTTTAAATCACGATTAAATTAATTAGAATTATTATCTTTCTTCGTTTCTCATTTCTTTTTTTGTATTATTCAATAGAAAATTCTACATATATCTCTATATGAACCCAATTATATCATTACATATAATAATAGGTTAATGGAATTATTCTCTTTTTAGTTTTTAATTTTTAATAGAATTTCTAAATCATCTGGACCTAGTTAAGTCGATTAAAGCATTGAGATTTAGATACAGATCATCATTTTGAATTAGGATAATTGTGACATACCATGAAACAAAAAAGCTTTCAATTACATTTAGATTCATATTTCTTCCGCGAGACTTCTTTCCAATAATAAACAGTACGTGTATGTTTAGTCGATATCGATCAATTTTGATCATAGATCGATTTATTTATCGATCATTTTAATCTTCTAGTTTCTTGTTGTAAGAATCGTTCGTTAAGTTTTTGTTCTCAATCAGTTTCGATCGTATATGCAAATTGTTTCAATTAAAATTTCAATTAAAACTTTTAATTGTGAAGAATCGTTCATTAAATTTTTTTTCTCCGATACCAATCGATTTTAATTACACATTTTGATCTCTTGCTACGCAATGTTTTATTTCACGCAATTGTAAAGAATTGTTCATTCAAATTTGTATCTTTGTAGATTTAATCGATTTTGATTGTACGATAGATACAATGTTAGGCTGCCTCTAGATGATGTAATATATCTGATCGATTAATTATATATATATATATATATATATATATATATATATATATATGAAAATATATGAAAATAGTGAAAAATTAAATAGATAATAACTTTAATAAAATTGGTGAATTACAACAAGACTCGCTTCTATTACAACAAAGAATATTAAATCAATATATCTATTCGGTGTCAAATTTTGTGAATAGCAATATTCAAATTTGAACTATTCTAATTGAAAAAAATAATTGGATTTTCCAAACATTTCGTAGGATTGGTACATTTAACAATATGCAACCACGATCGCTTTAAACTGACTGCGCGAGGAAAATTGGATTGCCGTCAAGGGTCGTTTTTCTCGAGAAAAATAAGGGGAGCGTAGAGGTGAAACTACCCTTTAAATGCTAAGTTTATGTACCTCGTATTCGCTTTAAACACCCTCAAACCGTGATAAATTTCCCGATAAAGTTACATTTGTCACCGTGAGTTACAAAGGGATCGAATTTATCCGGTTTCGTTACGAGAATCGTGTAAGAAAAAAAAAAAAAAAAAAGAAAAAAAAAATAAACATTGTGTTTTCTACGAGCAAGATCTTTGCATTACGAGGTTTCCCGCTCACCATTTCCATCCACGATTACTATGCTAAATATCGCGCGAGCAACGGGAGAATATTGTTTTTCTCCCCCCTCGGTGCAAATAATCGTCTAGAGGAGCCGCGATAGAGCAAGAAACGTATGAGATGGCGCCACTATTGCACGCCAAGATTAAAATTTGAATTGCTGCAGGTGCAAGTAGTATCTCGTTTCGAAACGAATAATTGTTTTGATATCATTTTTATATTATTATATAATTATAATTTTATTATTTATTATAATTATATAAAAAATTTTAATATATTATTATATAATATAAATATAATAATATAATATTTTATTGTATTTATATTATTATATAAACGATTGTATTTAATAAAAAAAAATGTTTTACGTAAGTTGGATTACAACGAATGATTGAACTATTATATCTTATTATATCTATATCATTATTTAATTACAATATTAATTGAGTTTCTAAATATCTATAAATCTAGGAAAAAGTAACATTTATCATCGCTGTATCCTTGATCCCGACACAATCATCATATTACATAATTATAACGTCTACACTATAATTTCTAAATCTAAAAGAAAAAATGAAGAGAAAAAGTTTCTTTAAATCTAGGAAACGATTAATTCCAATTTCTAACGCAAGAAATTATATTCATAACCTTGGATCGTCGCATTGTCAACGCAATTATAATCTATTTTAAATCCAATCTTTGATCCATTATCGTCGTTAATTATCTTATCTCTAAGTGTCTTGTTCCATTCTACTATGTGTCTGTAAAACGGATAAAAAGGGCGAAAGAGGTATTATCGCATCCCTGACTATTTTTTTATCGGAACGAAAAGAGGCGTGGGACGATCATCACGGTGAAAAGGATCGAACGATCGATCACGGGACGATTGGCAGCAGCTCTCGCGAGAGTTTTCACGATCATCTCGATAATGTTCTTCTCCTCGGTGACGTTCTCCTCCTCTTTCCACCCCGCCAACACGAGGGCAACCTCGGGGCTCTCCACGCACTCCTTATTCTCCTCATCGTAAGTGTAACCAAATTTGCAAACGCACTCGTAACCGCCAGGCATGTTCCAACACGTCTCCCCTTCATCTACGGAACAACGGTGTTCGCCGCGGACGCACTCGTTCACGTCCACGCAAAGGCCGTATCTCGCGGACCACTCGTATCCGGGCTCGCCGCATTGGCAGCTGATGTTGATCTGATTCCCAACCAAGCTCAAAAAATCTTGATTCTTCTCTCGGCTCAACTTGCACTCTCTACTCCCTGTGAAAATTGAAAATATATCATTTGAAATAATTCGACACGAAAGAAACGCGATACATATATATATATATATATATAAATCAATTATTAATGTTAACTTCTCTTACTAAATTTAATGAAACTGGTATATTTGATGAACGTATAAGCGTATATCGTATTAATGAAACTAATGAAGGTATAAAATTAATTACAGCTTTATTAATAAATGTTAATAATGTCTATTTGTTTGTCTATAAATTATATTTACCAAGAAATAATAATAATAATAATAATAATAATAATCCATGAAATAACCTTAATATTAAAAAAGTTATTATTCTTATAAATATTATTAATTCTATATGATTTTACATCATATTGAGATAAATTATTATCTTGAAATTAATCTTGAAATTAAAACACCAATATAAATATACATTAATAATAATTAAAAAAATTATTAACATATTTAAATAATATTTTATAAATTATCATTAATCATAAACAATCCATAACTACCTTTGATTTTAACATAATTGATGCCAAAATTATTGATCCATGATATGGAAGCTTCAACATGAGCTTTAAGCAATCATCTATGAAACATGTAAAGGAATTTTACTAAAAATGATACTATAAATAAATAAATAAATAAATAATATTAAATATAAATTTAAATTTATATTATCTCTATTATCTATATTACCTATATTATCTATATCTAAAATAAATATTAATTTATATTCAATTCAATAATTATATAATATAAAATATATATAACATAAAGAAAAAATTATTGTATAAAATATTAAATAAGATCACCTTAATTTAATCATTCACCTCATTTTACAATTATATAAAAAACTAATAATAATTCTAATTCATAAAATAGGAAAAGAATTTATCTTATGCATTATATATATTGAATGCTCTTTCGACTGTACATATGTGTGTGTGTACAAGCTTGTGTGATGTGATGTATTTTTCTTCACGATGAGTGGATGAGTGGACGTATTTAGTTCAAGTTTGGCACGATAATAATATCGCGGTCAATGGCTGACTCGCGACAAGAAAAATTCTCCAAATTGGAACGATGTTGATTCCATCAGCCAGGCTGAAATGTGTGAAAAATATTATTAAGTTATTAATTGATAAACTCTTCTCGAATAATCCTTTGATTAGGCTTAATAGATGTAAATCTCTATATTTGTGTGTGAATATTAAATAAATTTCTATTCTCAAAAGTTATGATATCTTTTTTCTGGTTTAATGGAATTTTATTGTGATCAAGCCATTCCATTATATCATTGTAGAATCTTTTCTACAGCAAAGGTAAAGTGTTTTATAATTACACTTTTTATTTATACAAAATATTCAACGTACAGAATGATAAAAAAAAAAGTACAAAATATACATAGAATTGCATCCAAAAAAATTGTTTGCGAACTCACTTCCCTTCCTTTGAAACGAATAAACCGTATTATAAATCTCGCGAGCATATTTGTGTGAATATTAAATAAATTTCTGTTCAAAAATTATGGCATAACATAAACTGTATTTATGACTACACTGTTTATATACTCGGGCAAAATATTCAACGTATAGAATGAACACGTAAATAACCAAAAATTCTCCTCGCTTGAGATAAATAAAAATTTAAAATTTAAAGAAACGAAAAGAACGCAAAGAAATTTATCGCAAATTTATCATCCTTTCATTTCTTCTTTTCATTTCTTTCTTCAATAAAAGAAAATACAAGATAAAAGAACTCCGTTGAAAAAAAGTTGCGAATCATTAAAGAGACAGTTGCAGAACATGTTGCGTCATTGCGGTATCTTGGAAAATTGCCAAGAAGGGGAAGGGGAAAGAGGAGGTGCGAGAGAGAAAATTAGAGGCAAGAGGAAGCAGGCAATCCTCTTACGAGATTTCTACGCACCTGGTTCGTTCCCAGCGTAACAGGGGTTGGCCTCAGACTGGTAGCAATCCGTCATATCCCCGATACGTTTCATGGGACAACAATGATCCGGGCAGAAGCTGTAAAGGGCGCAGGCATACGGTTCCGTGTCATCGGCCCTCGGATCCCCCGTTGGCCGGATCTCGCAGTTCGCGTGATTGTCGCACGGCTCCCCGAAAATGCTCAGCTCTGGAACGCCGAGCATCGTGTACCAACACATGTAATAACTCACCGTGGTGCGCCACTGAAATCGTTCTGAAGTCAGAATATTTTTTTTCTCTCTCTCTTTTTCTAATTTGTGAGCATCGATTATCGACGGTTGGTACATGATACATTACAATAATTAAAAAGTTATAATTTAATCGTTTTCGAAAAATGTGTAATAATAACTACGATTAAATGTTGTTCGAGCATTTTAATAAGTAATTGCTTCGGATAATTTTATTCGAAATTTTCGAAAGAGCTTCAATGCTCTGACGTGGAATCCTAATTAAGAATGACACCGCGTATCTGAGAATCATGTATCAAATTTTTTTTTTTTTGAGAAAATTAAAATCTTTCTCGTACACTTTGTTTAAAAGAAAGAAAGAAAGAAAAATTCATTTAAGGAAGATGAGAAAGATAGAGATAGAGCGAAAATTTTTATCGATCGATTAATCTTTCTTCCATCTTATTTTAAAACGAAAAGATCTCTACTTACCTATCGGACCTTCGAACGGCGGCATCACTTTTTTGTCACGCTCCATCGCGTTTAGACATTCCTTTTGAACGGACAGTATCTGCTGCATATTGTCGGGCAAGACCCATTTCTGTTCATTTATAGCTGTGATGGTGTCGTCCTGCCGTTTCAGCGCGGTCTGCTCAATGACGCCCTCGAGATATCTCAGACACTCGAGGAAACTCGCGTCGCAATATCTGTCACACGAAATTTCTACATTTTATTCATTTATTTTTTCCCACTCGCGGTTAATTTCGGATACATTTCGATCGATTTTTCGCGGATATTTTTTAAACCGGTTTATTCGGCGGAAATCGAAAACTGGGATCAAATCACAATTAAAATATCGGTTAACCACTGATCAATTGATTTTTTTCTTTCAAGTTGCGCATCATTTCAACGTGTATATTGATAGCGAGTCGTTGTCGAGGGTAGGAAACGTTTTTAAAAAAATAATTCACTTTGCCTCGATACGTATCAATTAACTAGATATAGAATAACATTTCGTTCCATCATATCAATTACACAGCGATGCAGAATTGGTGGATATCATTTAACGCCATTTCAAAGGATATCATTGTATAAATAATTTCGGGGAATAAACGATGTAAACAATCGACGACGAGTCGAACGAATCGAAGGAAATACGAATAAATAATCTTTTTTTTTTACTCGATTAACTTAGATAAATTTTCATTTTCAAATTTCAAAATTTCTATTTCATCGAGAAGCATTATCGAACGAATAAAAAAAAATATCGATTCCATTTAAAAACCAGTTGGATTTTCACATGGCAATTTTGGAATTTCCAAATATTCGAAATCAAATTCGATCGAAGAAAATAAATAATAATTACGATTAATTGTCCAACCTGTGCACCTCCCAATGTAGAGATCTCAGAGCCGGCTTCGGGAATTCTTCGTACGGCTTTTTCGCCGCGTCCTCGTACCTCTTGTAATAGCGACGATCGAAATCGCCAAATTTGTGGCCACGTATGTAATAGGCCACGTCTCGTATTACTTTGTTTTTGTCCCAAGTCGGGTCGAACTCCTCGGTTGTTTCTTCCACGTCGGGCACATCGGTTATCTTTATTTTCGGATCCATAACCTCTTCCGTCATCCCCACCTCCTCCATGTCCATCTCCGCCTCCTCCTCCTCCTTCTCCTCCCTCTTTTCCACTCCGGCCAACGTCGTCTCCTCCCCCTCCATCGCGTGGACAAGACGGAACAACGAGTGCAATAAAAACGCGTACAATATTATTCTCATTCTCGTTCTTTCTTTCTTCTCTCTTTCTCTCTCTCTTTCGAATCGATCTCCATATTTTCGTCGCTCGATTCTGCGTTGTTCCTTCGAGCGTGCGTTAATTCAAAGGCAAAGGTAAACGTTTACGTAGATACGTACGAAAACCATCGAATCGAATTTCTCTGGAAATCGAAAAAATGAATCTGAAAATATGGAAATGAAAGAAATGAAAGAAAAACTCGGTTGAGTAAAAGTTTCACGCTTTTCGACGATCATCTTCTCATTTTTCCACACCGTTCAATCTCCGTTTTTATAAACCTCGCGTTAATTTTTGGCGTATAAGCTTTCGTTTCGCGCGAAACGAGGGAAGAATCGAAATGTTTTTCTAGCCTTTTATTTTCGTGCTCGTCGGCGAAGAAATCCGTGGATAGAAGTCGATCTATTTCTCTATACGCAATTTTTCACGAAAAGGAGAAAAATAAACCCGTCTTTTACCTATCTTTTATTCTAATTTCGAAAACAAATTTCGTTATTATACTTTGTCATACTTTCTCGCATGAAATTGTCATTTTTTTCCTATAATCTCTATTCGATCAAAGTATAAGTTCATTGGTTGAGATATTCAATTTTTATAAAATGTTATGCGTTTCAGCGCGAAAAAATTACAACTTCTTAAATATTTTATTCTTTAAAAACAACTGTAAATGGCGAAACGAGTATGGATTAAGATTTTATACTTCGTTATTATATCAGAAGAATAGGTTCACGTCTATCAACTATGCCGATTGTTTCCTAATCGATTTCTTGGCAGTTTCGGAAAAGAATAACGAATTATTCTCTTTACGGATCACCACGCAGTCGCCTAACTGTTTTTGACCGTGACAATAATTTCGACGTTCGTTTACGATTTTCGTCGACGTCCAATCATCGTCCGGATCATCGAGCAGTATCCGTTTCTCGTCACAGGTTATTAATTCCATTCAAAAATGGACTTTTACCATTTCGAGCTTTATATAAGCACAACTTTGAAACACTTTTGCTTTCGATTTATCTTTGTTCTCAAGATTTTCCATGCCTGAATTTTTGAATAATACTTGAACCCATACAAGAATTGTTCGCTTTTCAAAAAACAGTTGAACCAATACGAGAAAGAGAAACTTGTAACAGAAAGAAGATTAAATAGAAACAATTAAAAATACAAGTCGCAGTTGATTCACCGCAATGATGCAACCTAATATTTCAATTAACAATAACTGTCTATCCCTCAATTTCTACGGAGAAAACGATCGAAAAAGAGTTGAAAAAGAAAAAGCAAGAGTCGAATCGAATCGAATTCCAGGTGAGAATTTCTAAATGGGATCAGAAGCAAGGAGAGGTTTCGAATCGAGAGACGGCCACCTGGCATCTCGTCCACCTCGTTCGACACAGCGGAAGAGGGGAGGGGGGGGGAAGGCACTCCTCTCCTCTCTTGCGGCCGTATTTCGTTCTTTTCTCAGATTGGCGAGCAAATGTTGACCCAGTTCCAGCTTTGGATCGGGCCGCTACTCGCTCTCCCGAAACTGCTGACTAGAATACGCGATGAGCGGCAAGTTAGGGTGGTTGTTACTTCCCCCGCCTCTGCCCCTCCCACGGGGCTAGCCATCGAAATTTATGCTCGAAATACAATTCTCTCCCCTATATTCCAGATCTGGAATACCTGTAAACTTCATTTTCGTTTTTAAAATTGGGGAAGGCTTCGATTCAAATTCCTTCTCGAGCAACGCGACAATTTGTGTGTATGATAAATAATCGATATTTTCTTATGCTTGAGAGGGGAATAATTCTACGCGCTGAGGGAATTAGAAATTTTCTGTATAAATTTTCTGTTTTTGAATTTTGCGCCATTTATTGCCAACGAAAAAAAAAAAGACAGCGTGATAGTTGACAGTTCAAGATTATTAAAAATGAAGTGGTACACAAAAAAACAACGCGTTTTCATCGTTGAGCAATATTTTGTAAAAAGTAACGAAGATTTTTCGAACAAAATCATCACAAAATTTACAATTTTTAATTATAAATGTGAATTTCGGAACATCCTAAAGAAAAATTCTTTATATTTAAAGTAAAGTTTTTTGAATACGATTGTAATACTTTCAAACAGGCTGTGATTATATATGACCGATTGAGAGATTAAACATTGATATTTTTTAAATATGAATTAATAAGCACGAGTTTACAGTTCAAATTCGTATATTCATATTTCTAAATTTTGGAAAATCGAGGGCGCGCAGCATAAAATAAATAAAATAAATATTCCCAATCCCAATTATTTTATTTTATTTTTTTTTCAACAAACGATTTATTCCCAATCGTAACAATACCCTATTGCAATACCCTATTGATGATCATCTTCTCTCCTCGTATGAAAAAGAGATCCCGTGATCGAAATTAAATGACTCGTAATTATCGTATAACGGGATATATTTTTGCAAATTTGACGGTATGAAAAAAAGCAAACAATCAGCCGATGAAAAACGTGCAATAAATTCGATATTTAAACACGCAATTTATAGATAAGAATTTGAAATATATTGGGTATAAATCGGGAGTAAGCTCTCGTAGCTACGCTGAAACCAATCTAATAGGATAGCGCAAAACCGCATCGGATGTCCGATATCGCCGGTTTTACCCGGTGTTACGGAATAGTAAATTAAATCGAAACAAGTGGATTACCGTGGTTATACCCGTATATATCCCCCCTCCGTGTTTCACAAAGAACCAGAGAAAGAATTTTAAGATTGTTCAACCGACGCGGGTTGATGATTAGGTGAGTTGTATTCTTTTTTTTTTTTTCCTCTTCAAACAGGACAGATTCGACACACACATCTCTCTCGTCAATTTCGTAATACAAATTGTCCAATCCGAAAAAGGATGGTGTATCTCACCTTTCGTAGTAGCAATTCAAATATAGTGAATAAAATAAAGCAACGATTATAATTGTATATTTTTAAAGTTAAAATTCATATTTTAAAAAAAATTGCAATTTTTTTTATTTTTATTTCAAGTTATATCATACGTTTCATTTTTCATATATATATCCTTGTGCAACCGAAGGATAGCTTCATACTTTTTTCGGATTCATTTTGACATATTATACGCTATAGCACACTTTTATGTTACTGTTGATGGAACGATAGCTTGACATCAACCGAATCGTAAAAATCCTCTCACTTGTATATGTAAATGTATAAAAATTGTCAACAACGTATTCGAATACTTTTGTTTAACTTATTAATAACGCGTGTTTATATAATAATATATATATATATAATAATATATATAATATATATATTATAATAAATATATTATAAGTGCTGCACAAATTGTTGAATCATTTTTAAATTTTGCTCCCACGTTGTATTAAACAAACTTTCTTTATATATTTTGTTCGTCAAAAATTGTATGCAAATTATAAGCGTTCGAATACTTTCGTTATCTATTATATATATTTGCATATTTTTTATATATCGATTAATATATTTTCTTTTTTATTCTACATTTTTAATCCTTTAACTGCGGATATTAGCACAGCCGATCGTTCTAAACGCAAAAAAAAAACGGAACAAAAATATTTTATCATAATCAAATCATAATACTCTTAGAATATGACTGTTCATCACCAGAAAATATTCAAAATATTTATTGGCTTCCGAGACAATAATTGTCATAAGTAATATTTGTATTCTTCACAATCTATGTTTACATAAAAATTAACATGTTTATTTATATATCACATCCTAAATTAAAGGGTTAACAAATTATAATGAAGAAACAATATTGTTTTCTATTCGAACCACTGTGCGACGTTGCACGGTCTTAAACAATAACCGTATATTTTTCGAAAAAGGAGAAGAGAAAAAGAGAGAAAAAAACTCACCTTCCATTGTTCGAACGTAAGTATTTTCTACCCACATTTTCTCTCCACGCTCGCTCATAAACGAGCATTTATATCGACAAATGTATTGTTGGAGAGAAGAAGAAAGGAGGGAAAAGGAGGGAAGGAAGACGCGCCCGAGAACTGAGAAACAAGTTGCGCGATCTTCGAAGTGTTGGACGCGAGAATAAAGGAAGGGAAGGCAACGACGTGTGTAAGGGAAATCCATTTGACGATTGGAAGCGTACCTTTGATCCGCTTGGCCTCTCCCCTCTCTACCGCCTCGAAACGATCAACCATAATGGAGAGCGCGCCATTTTTGTAAGCTCTCGTGTATCCGAGAGCGCCCCTCCTTCTCAAAATGTGTTTAAAACGTGTGTCCCATTCGACGAGGTATTGGTGGAAAGTGCTCCTTCCTTTCTTCCAGGATGAAATTTTGTGGGACAAGATAATAATTTTTTACGACGAATGGAAAATATCGTTTACATCTAATAGTGTATTTTCAGATCGAGTCGATCATCGTGGCGAGGTTTTTCAGATACAGATTAGTTAATTTTGCAATTCCTTTCTCCGAGTCGAAGCTCTTCCGTTCGTTAACCGATTCGACTGATCAAAATAAACAAAAAGTATCGATCGAGAAGCTTGAACAATCAACTATTGAAATAAAATATACAGTAAAGACCTCCATTATCCGAATACTTTAATATAGGGACGTATGTTATTCGTATGTTAGCCGCATGTTTCATAGCGATGTTTACATGCGACGTAGTTAGATTACAATGTAAGTACAACGTATACACGTATTCAGATGTAAATATTATACTTTTCTAATATATTTAAATTATAACGTAAATATTATGTATTCAGATGTAATAAATATTATACTTTCCTGTGTTGCGGTCAGTTAAACATAATCGCTTCGATGTGAAGCGAAGAATGATATCGAGTGAACGAAACGAGTGTAGTTTTAACTCTGCGCTCGAACGGTGCGCTCTGAGGCGCTACTCGGTCGACGCGATAACTGGAAAGGTGACTTTCAGGCATCGCTTGGATCGATGCGGCAATTCGAACGGCGACAATATTTATTTACGTTTGATTTTTTTAAAATATCGCTTCGCACGAATAGATTCATAAACTATTTACGTATAATCTTATAAAGCATGGATATACTGTCGAATGGTTAGATTTTTTTTATCTTAAATTAGACCATAATCGAGGATCGAAAACTATGTTTTCGGCGTAGATTCGACAATCGGTGGGAATAGAAATATTTTCAAAGTTTTCGAATTTTAGTAAGGGTGGAATACGGTAATGAAATTAGTTTGAGCGAGGATGAGTTTGATTTTTCGTTATTGAATAACGAAATTATTTCTATTCCTTAAGGAATTGACGGTAGAGGAAAAGAAAATAGCGACGAAAATAAAAATGTAATGTAAGAAGAATATAGAACGAATGAAAGATAAGAATAATTAGAAATTGAGGATGCATTAATTACTTTATTATTAAAATATC